GCTTTGATTTAATTAGTGATTATAGACATGATGACACTGTAGTCATATGACTTGCATTTCCAGTAACACTGCATGGTTCACTTTGTCATTGCTGAAAAGGCAACCCTGCTTGTAACAATCCCAGGGAGCAGCTAAACCCTATTCATGTCACTCTGAACATTACATTCTAAAATAACTTAAAGTGGAATGTTAAAATAACATTCTGCAATGTAAATCCAGTTCAGTGAGAAGGCCTTCTAAAATACAATTTCTGCTTAAAAAGCAAGTTTGACATTTTGTTTCATTAAGTCAATTGGCCAGTAACTTTAATGCAAACAATTCCATTTGTCAGTCAATCTGCAAACTACAAGAAAAACACTGAAAAGACTAGGGAGGCATTAACAGAGACTTGTACTGTAGGGGCTGGAAAGCACCAAAACGAAAGTTACCAACAGTCACATATTATATAACAAAACATCCATCATAACATAATAAAAAACAAACAAACAAAAAAATGAGGCTGTGATACATTAAAAAATAATCAAGGAAAGGGTGGGGGAGCAGACCAGCAGTAATCTCAGAAATGAGGAAGAAATGCCATAAAATTGCAGGCTTAGAATTCAGGAATTTTAATCAGCCAAATCAATGTAAAGCCACAAACTGAGGACAGGAAAACACAGTCCCTCCATTTAAAGAAGTGAAAAAGAAAAAGAAACAGCCAAGCAGCACCCAAAAAAGCCCCAATTAGCTTGTCCTCAAACATCTGCAAGACTTTAGAACAAACACTGAAAACAAAAATTATTACAGACTGAGAAATGAAGGGGCAACACGATGAACTGTAACAAAAAGCACCTACTCTTCTAGGCAAGGACATCTTAGCAAAGATAATCTAACATCAGTTGTCTGTTCAAATCGCAGAGAAACATTCCGTAGGGTGCCATGAGTAAGTTATTAGCTATAGTTCTTGGATCACTCTACAAGTAACATAAAGCACACTAATGAGGGTGGGGAGAATTTACTCCCCAAATGCCTCAAAAATCAGTCCTGAAATCAGTATTAATATATCCTGCCTGAGACTGACAGCAAGGGTAAGGGTCTTGTAGGGAAGCTAGAGGAAAGTCAGAAAGTATTGTCAATAACAGGAAAGACTAACATATAATGTAAGGGGAAATGTAAACCCTTGAGGACTGGATTGGGTAGAAAAGGTAACAATAGGACTAAATGCAAATTCAAACAGAGTCAATAAAAGATCCTCCTAGAAACGAAGTGCTCAGCAATTGGAAACAAGAGGAGAACGCCAAATACACGAAGTTCTAGCAGAAGAGGACACAGGCCTTCACAGTAAAGCAGCCACCAAAAGGCAAATCCAATCCCAGAATGAAACACGGCAGGTAAACATTTCAGCAAAGCACAAGGAAACATGAAATGATATCATACAAGTTATCAGCAATCCATGATATGGTGTACAATTCTGGATGCCAGTCAAGCTACACAGAAAAATACTTCCTACTCCCTTGATCATGTCAACAATCTCACGAAGGAAGGCTAACTAAACAAAAGATGAAAGGGAAAAGGCTTGTTCTCTTCTGAAGGAGCAACTACAGAAGAGGTGAAGGTTATTTAAGAGGAAGGACAATGCTGGGAAAACAGCAAACGCACATGAACTAACTACGAATAGATTTAGACAGGAAATTAAAAAACTTTTAACACTCTGAAAAACTGAAATTTTGGAGTATGCTCTCAATAAGAAAAACAGATGAAAGAAACCACACTGCTCCAAAGACCATTCCACAGGTTAACCTTGCAACACTGCAACTACATACAAAGCAATTCCTTGGCATCTGCTTTGGTTAAGACTCTGCGCAGCTCTGCTGAAAAGCAAACAGACAGGTTTAGAACCAAGGAAACAAAACCAGCTGTGGTGAAGCAAAAGCGTGTTTACCTACATTCTCTAAAAGTGCCCTAAGGAAAGAGCAGTACTGGATGTACGGTCTGAAGAGAGAGCTGGATCGACCCCACTGCTGGCTGCCAACAAGAGCGGGGTCCTGGTCTTCCCGTTGACCTTTGCAGGGGTGTCCTGCTCCTCTCTTTCAGCACAATTTCACAGCCTTTGCTGAGCAGATTCAAGTCACCAAGCTTCCAAATTTGTCACCTTCACAGATAATCCAACTCACAAGCCAAATACTTTTTTCTGGAAAATTAGTTTTCTGCCAAAAAGAGTTGAATCAGCTCAATGGTGAATCAAAAAGAAAAAAACACTGGGTGGATGGGACCATGGAAAGGGATCTCTCCTTGCCAGTAGCTGGGCTCAACTATTTCCTCAGTATGTACAATTTTTTTTAAATGAAAAAGACAATAAAATGTAAAAAAAGTTAACTCCTTGACAGATATATATCAACAGCGTGAACAAACACATAAATATTTCAAGTTCAAGTACTGACTATCCATATTTGATAATCTGGTATTCTGGTCAGTCTATTTTACAATAGAAGAATATATTTTTAAAAAGCTCCTAATGGCAAACATTTTTACTGCCAAAGGACTGTAGGATTTAGCTTCAAAATTCACAGTTTGTTGCACTTGTTTAACTATAAGTGCAGATGGTTACACTTAGTATATACAGACAAAATTTAAGGAACTGCAAGTGAACAGACGGCCACTTTTGAAGTGCTACAGTCTGAAAGTTCTTGAAGCGTTTAGGTTTACCACTGAATTCTGCACAGCTGTGAGACTCACCAGTTCAAGAAGTCTTCACTTGTGCAAATACATTAGTTTCAGCCATGTGAAAGATGGGTCTGGCAAAACACACATGAAACTCCACAAAGTATTCAAAATAACTGGTGTATATGTATCTGGTCTGGGAAGTTTCTACCTTCATTTCAATCATAGGCCAACATTAAAAAGATCTCACAGTGGTTTGTCAGAAGATGAAGAAGAAAGGGAATGATTCTGTTACACAGACTTTGCAGACACATTAAGAAAACAGGGCAACTTATACTCAACAAAAAAAAGAGCTAGTGTGATAATAGAAGCACTCACAACAACCTCTTCCACCTGTATCCTTCCCCAGCCTTGACAAAAACCCCAAGAATGCTGAATGCTTCCCTTACCTAAGATTCCAGTGTAATGAGAAATATGATGCTGGTACCTAGCTCAATTTAATTGCTTTTTCTAGTGCTTCAATTCAGAATGTACATTGTTTAAAGAAAAAACACAAGGTAAAAAACATTAACAAAAAAAAACTTAAAAAAGCAACACACATAACAAGTTCGATGCTGAAGAAAGCACGAGGCAGAGCAGAAACACAAACCAAAACAACTGAGTCATCTTCATCCTGTCGCTAGCACCAATTCCAGCCAAAGTTGCCTCATGGTTTTGTAATGGGAAGAAATGCCAGCTCTGGCTTAGCTCGATGCCCTCAAATCAGCCTCTAAGACGCTGCCCTAGTATCAGATACAGAAACAGGCATAAAAATCGTATCCTACGGACACTGCTGCTTCTCACTCCCGAGTTCGCCAAAACGAACTCAACACACCACCTCACCGAGCAAACGGAGCAACGCACTATGACAAGCAGGAGATGACAAAACATCTCAAAGACAGGCTGTAAAAAACTTTCGCAGTTAAAGCACAACGGGCCCCCAAAACCCCATTCCTTAAACCGCTGAGCGCACACGGGACCAGCGAGCCTCGGCGGCTGCCGCAGCCGTTTCTCTACCGAGGCCACGACGCTGACCGAGACCCAAGAGGGCGGGCGGGGCTCCCGGGATCCCCTCACACACCGGTTTTCCCTCAGAGCTTGGTGGCGGGAAGCCCCGGGGCCCAGCTTCCACCCCCAGCCGCCGCTGTTGTTTCTCCCTCAGGATCCCGCTGCGGAGGGGAGGTGGAGGCCGCTCCACAACCGCCGGGCCCAACCGCCGCCGCCCGGCCTCCCATACCCTCCCCCCCACACACACACACCGTCCCACTCGCTCACCCACGTCCTGCTCGAAGGGGTTGGGGGCGAAGAGCGGCATCGCGGCAGCGCCCGCCCGGCGAACCTCCCGCCCCTCCGCCGAGACACCGGGGCCCGCGGCCACCCGCCCCGCCGCCGCCCGACCCCCGCGCCTCAGGCCCCCCCCGCGCCCGCCCCGCCGCGCCTGCCCGCACGGCGGACGGGACGCCGCACAACACAAGAACGGAACGCCGGTCAAGAGCGGCGGAGGGTGCGAGAAAGCGCCGGTACCGCCCCGCGGGACGGAGAGAAACGGGATGGGCGGCGGCGGCGGCGGTTCGGCAGCATCAGGCGCTCGCCGGGGCACCCCGGCGGGGCGAGGGCCTCCCGGGGGCGTGGTTACCGGAGGCCGTGAGGGAGAAGCCCCACCCCCCCGTCCCGCCTCCCGGGGAGTTGGTGGTGGAGGCTCCTCGTGACGTCACGGGCGCCATCTTGAGGTGGCGGCGGGTGGGCGCCTTTTCGTCCGTGCTCTCTTTCCCATGGGTGGTCGCCATCGCTCGGTGCTTCGCCCGCCTCCATCGCGGTGTCAAATCCCGATTTTAAATGCTGCCTGAGGGCACGGGCTTTGTCGCCTCTGTGTGAGGTGGGGTGGAGGGCGGGGAGGCAGCGGCTGCTGTGGAAGTGTGGCTGTGGTGGGGTCTGGGGCTGAGGAGAGGGGAGGGCTGAGGAGAGGGGGGACTGAGGAGAGGGGGGGCTGACGAGGTGAGGGCTGACGGGGGGAATGGCTGGGGGTGTACAGCTGTGGGGGAGCGTGACATACAGGGACTATGGTTTGGGGGTGTATGGCTGAGGGGGGTATGGCCCATCTTGAGGGAGGGGAGAGCGTGCAGGTTTGTGCCAGCAGTCCCCACAGCCACACGGGCAAGGTTGTGCATCCAGAAGGGGAAGTTCCCCGAAAAGCCCCTTTCTGGGCACACCTGAGGGCTTGCTGGCCCTCTACCCGCTGTGGGCAGCCGTCAGCAGCCACCGGCAGGAACCTGGGAGCTCTGAGCTGCTGCTGGGTGTACATCGTTTCTCCGAGGAGCGATGTGACTTTGTATGAACTCATGCCAGTCAGCCTCTGAGTCAGTACTGTACCCAGCACCATGTGCTTTTTGGAATATGCACCGTCATACGTTTTAGAGCCGCGTCTCAGAGCAGTCATGAGCTTTAGTCATCATCGTGGTGGTGTCAGTGCATTAGTCAGAGCCTATTTTTGACTTCAACAAGAGAACTCGTGGAAAAGTGAGGCACAGCAGCATTACCGTGGCTGCATTTCTATTAGAAGGGTTAGACATTGAAAGTACTGAAAACAAGATTCCTAAAAGCTTTCTGTATGATTCAGTGATACTTTTCCTGCCCACTCAAATTTAGGGGGCCACATTTCTTTCCTCAGCTGTGATATGCAAGTATAAAAGATGCATAACTTTGGCTTACACATGTGAAAAAGATTAGCATATTTTGCAGGGAATTTTAGATTATATATTAGAAATTGAATTATATTTGAAGAACACGTTTCTTCAAAAATGATAGCAGAGTTCATATTTCTTGAATGTTGCATACATGAAAAGCATTTATTTTAAATCATCTGGGGGCAGCGGTGGCACAGTATTATGAAATGTATCGTGTTTTTGTTTGATTATGAAGCTGCACTAGCAGATCTCTTGCCCGGCTGTGCACCCTGCCTCGGCTCTCCGGGGTTCCATTTTGTTCCCATTTTCCAGGGTTTGGGGCAGTCTGCAGGTGGCACCCTTGTCTCACATTCACGGCCGTCGTTGCCCATCCTGAACTGACTGCTGGAAATGAACTGTCTGTCAGATTTTTAAGGCAAAATGGAGCGCCTTTCCCTCAGTCTTAAATTTACTAATTACATTGAAACTTATAATTTCACTTAATGAATCAGACCAAATAAAAATGGCACCAATTTGTTTAATTGCTTTAAAAAAAGGAAGGATGACTCAATTTGTACAGAAATGCAATAAACACTGGTGTTGTCTGGCTGAAATAGAAAATTGTAATGAGTTCTGTATAATTCAAGACAATGAGTTTTCTCTTTTATTAACAGCACATCAGCAGTATCACATGTGGTGCAATAATCACAGCAGCTGCCCATGCAAATACATGGATAGCTTCTCCAGTTCTTTGGATCCTGTAACGCTGTTTTTGTCACCTTAGCACGGGATAAGATGTCACACATTTTCATGTACATTTGCTCCGTTTTTTGTCCAGTCACGGTGGGACAATGCATCAGAGATCTGCCGTACCTCCTAGAGACTAAGGACTGGAAAGGACTGACTACAGAGCCTAAGTCCCCCAGGTTCAAGCCGTCGTGTAGAACATAGAGTCCAGAAGCATCCACAGAACTTCTGCTCTAGGTGACACCAAAGCCACGGAACATTTCCCAATGGAGAAACCGCAGTAAATGATAAATTCCACAGTAATAATAAGACCCAGGAAGCGAAAAGAAAATATTGGGGCACTGCCAGTTATCCCAAGTTCTGCAGGAACAAACTATTCATTGAGGAGAACTCCTAGGAAGCACTAGATAGGAGGACAAATAAACAACTATTAAAAAAAAAAAAAAAAGTTATTTCTAAACCTGTTTTTCCAGACTCCAGATCTGGCCATCTATTTATCGCTGAGTGCTGAGCAGCCCGTGCCCTGGGCTCGCTGCCACCACTGGGACCCCTCCAGAGGCCGGTGGCTACCATGGATGGATCAGCGGGACTTTGTAAGAAGCTGGTGCTTCCCCCCTCCCCGTGCATCAGAGGGGCTGACTGAGCTTCCCCCGTTACTTTTGTACCAAGGTATTGTCATAATATTTACTCTCCAGCCGTAGCGTTTGTAGCAGAAGTTTTAAAGGACAACTTATATTGTCTGAAGTGTTTGCTTTTAAAAAACTTGGGTAACTCTCAGGAAGCTTTTTCCCGGTGCACAGAAGCAGCTTGCTAAGGCTTCTAGCTTTGTTTTGTATTTGACTGGATTCTCTGTATTTCTCCAGCTGCCCTCTAGTTTACTTTGTGGTTTACTGAAATATTTTTTCCCTCTTTTTATAATGGTCTCTCTGCTTGGGTGCTCTGTGTAGGAGTCATGCAGACAGAGAAACTGTTTAAACAGAGAAATGCTGAAAATAATTCTGTATAAAGTATTTCAAGATGTACACAAGGACTCTCCCCCTCAGTTCTGATTTTACTGTTAGGTGATGCTGGTGATGAAGGAAGTTGGCAAGAAGCACGCTCTGTAAAGTGTTAATATTCTGTGCTTTTACGGCTCTCTGCTCAGCAGCTGAACAGACTTTGTATCTGTCATGCCCTTGCATGAGAAACAATATTGCATTAAACAAGTATGGAAAAGCTTGAGCGTTTTTAATAACAAATTTTACTGTACACACAGTCTGATGCCACTTAAATGGAACATACCCTTGCTGTTTAAACACTTTGATTCATTATTGTTAAGTTTTCTTTGGCTTTTGTTATTCAGCTCAGGCACTCAAGTTTCCTCATAAATGCATCTCAGACACTTTTTCATGTGTGGCTATTGCAGCACACTTGGAAAGAAGTTGATGTTAACTGGAACACATTTATTTTTCTAATCATAGACTTTATTTTCTTGTACCTGTTGTTACACGGTGGGATTCCTCTTTCTTACATTAGCTGCCATGAAGGAGAAAGAGTGAGAGGAATTAGGCAGCCAAAACTGATGCATCTCGCTTTTCCCCACTTCTTTCATGCACAGCACCCACCCAGCCTCTAAATCCAGTAGTCACCCAAATGCAGAGAGATGATTTCAACAGCTGAGGTCCTGGTTAACGGATCTTGCCCCGGGGTCTTAGCATCTCCTTCTGAAAACCAGCCTCAGCCAGTGCAGGGTTGTGCCAGAGGATGGGTAGCTCCTTGTGGAGCAGCCAGAAGTAGCCAGGGCTCATTCTGGGACCATATTTCCTACCCACCCGTCCCCCTCTGCCAGCAGTCAAGAGGAAATGAGTGTTTTGGTGTGTAGGATTAACTGCTCCAGTAACCCTGAAAATTTGCCTCAAAGAAGTGGTTTTGTTCAGTGGTGGGTCACGCAAGGAGGTTGTGTGCCCGTCCCATGTGGCAGCAGATACTAAACCAGAGTCCCAGGTTTTGCCAACAAATTTGCCTCACTCTGGCACCATACGGCCTCCCGGCCACGTCCCCTTGTCTGAATAAATGTGCGCCGAGGAGGAATGCGGCTGTCGGGCAGTCCCAATTGTTTCAGAGTGCAAGCCAAATTTTGGATCAGATGCTTCCTCCCATGAGCTCCAAAGTTCAATGTCCTTTCACTGTGAGCATTTATGCTCTGAATGAAAAATGCCGGTACGCTGCTTTGCATCTCGTTATCTGGGAACAGCATGCACCCAGACAGCGTGTAAGCGATTCTTTCTGCAGGACCGGGGACCAGATTTGGATTTGTCTGCGTCTCTGCCAGTGGGATTGCCTTCAGTGTACTGGGGCAACGCTAGCTTTATGCTCCTTCATGACTGACATATCCCAAAATACATAATTTTTAAGAATGCCATATGAGAGTGGCTCGTGTTTTTCAGAGCTGTGGCTGCAAATAGTCAGAACTCAGTGCTGGGTTACAAGACTGCACGTTATTTTGGGATACTCCGCCTAACACAAGGCTGAGTCCCCAGACATACCGTGTCTTACAGCAGATAATTGACAAGACAGTCTAGAATATGCAAATGTAGATTCTTTTAATTAGTCCTGAATACATACAACCACCTGTGTGGATGTTCAAGTAGGGGAGAGGACAGAGCAGCACAGCTACACCCCAGACAGTCAGTCATTGTGTCAGAGACACCTACACCATCCTGTACATCTAATGTATGCTCGGCAATCAGCTGATTTCAGATTACAAAACGTGTCCGGTTTGTGCTGCGGGTCTTGTTCTAGTTCTTCAACAGAAAAACAGAACAAATCAAAACAGAACTAGACTTGAGAGGTCATGAGACACATTAGCAAGCTTGAGAAAATTAACCCCTGCAGGTAGTGAGCAACACAGGTTAAAATTAAATGTGTCAGAAAAAGTAGATGGAGTGGGAAGTCAAAGCAATCAATAAATTAAGTGCTGGATTATGCCTTTCAGATACGATTTACAAATCCAGGCTAACTCACCAGCAGGATCCTGAGCACGACCTCCTCACAGCCTGCTGGAACCGGGCTCTGCAGGGAGGGGGAACAGTCATGTCCCTGCCTCCAGGACTTAGGGTGAAGGCGGCAGGAACACACCGGCAGCGGTTCCCACCTCCTCATCGGTAAGGGCTTCCCTCCCCGGCAGCGTGGTGTGTGATATTGTTGGCAATTCCGAGTTTTACCTGAAACATGGGACTTCCTGTACTATTTTAAAGTGTTGCACCATCAACTCTTTTTCCTCTCGTAAATGGCGTCAAGCATCAGGGTTTTCTTTCTAGCAAGTCAGTTGAAGTGGGAGATGCTTAAAGACCTGCACAGTCTTCGCCCCAATCTCAGCACCTATTTACAAGCAGAGGCACCCGGAGGTCTGCAGCTGGGGCGCAGGGCTCGAGGACGCATCGAGAAGCCCCTCAAGAGAGGAAGATGTAAAGAGATGCTCCTGGGACTGACAGCAAAAGCGTGACAGAGGAGAGGCAACTGCCTGCCTTTTCCCAGGCAGGGGCACTGGCTACCAGCCAGCCTCACAGCGGGATGCCAGAGTAGCCCCTGGTCCTGCTCCCTGCCCCCTCTGGCCATGAGCAGCTTGCCTTTTGGGGTGTTTTCCAGTGAATTCTGTTTCCTCCAGAGTTAACCTCCAAAGGGGTTAATGTGGCCTTTGGGAGCAACCAGGAACAGAAATGTCCTTTGCTCCCAGGCATGTGTCCTCCTCACAGCAGGATCCTCTGGTACTTCTGAGTGTAAGAGCAGAGGTTTGCCCTTGTACCCAAACGTGATGCCAGGATGCTCCTACCTCGGGATCAGTGGTGCTACGTTGGAATGGTGTGCAGTTAACACTGCCTTGGAGAAGATTGCCTGAATCTCCCATTTTCGACCATGTCTTTAAAAAAATGTTACCTTCGGTTTTCTTGTCTTGCTTTTTCCATATGTATTTCAAATCTGCTACAGTACGACTTAAAGGAAGTTCTCCGGATTGCAAGGGAATGTCGTCTCCTGTGCAAACCTGGGCAGGCTCTGCCTCTGCTCACACCCTGGTTGGACAAGTATGATAGGACAGGCCCTGCATGGGTGTTTTGTGGCTTCCTTCATGTTTATAAACTACTCTGAGATCTTCAGATGAAAAAGGATTTTTGAGTGCAAAATAGTAAGTTGCCAAACTGTTTCTAACCTCATAAACAGATCATTTTAAATTCCAGGAGATACCGAGGAGGGCAAGATCACACAAGCAGTCTGGGAACGGTTTCCATCACCCGTCCTGGGAGCTCAAAATGCAGAATTCCCTCCATTGCTGTAAACCCAGCTAGCGTTTTATCACAAATTGAGAAGAGCCTTTCTGAATTTATTTTCTAAGTTTTAAAAATGGAAAACTCATTTGTTTTTAGCTGGCATCCTCCTTCTTTGGTTTCTCTGTTTGTGCTGCGTTCACTCGGCGTTAGAACAAAGCTTCCTGGAAATAATAACTGAAATATGGGAATTGCTTCAGCTCAGTTTGTTCCTTTATGTCGCATAAACTACGACAAACATGTTTGCTGGGGGGCCGTTCACCGAAACAGCTGATTGTGCAAACTGAGCTGAGATCCCGCGTCTTCATTCCTCCTCCCACCTACAGTCTCACAGGCGGAAAGCCAAAATGGGCCTGTGAGCCTCCCGGGGCAGAGCCAGCCCCCGCCAGCCACTTCCCGCTCTACTTAGCAAACGGTGAACGTGTTGGTGAAGTTTATGAGTTATTTACGGCCCATTTTGCAAACAGAGTGGGGCTGATTGATAATTAACCGCAGGCAGCAGTTGGGTGCATGGGCTGGACCAGCCATGAGCTGCTTGCCTGGCCACCCCGGGCTTCCCTGTCTTGGGGAGCGCTTGACTTCAGCCCCCCAATTCCTTCAGGGATGCGCATCCCCTCCTTAAGCTGATGCTTTATGAGTTTTTCTCCCTGCAACGGCAGAAGCTCCCCCCAGCCCTGCGGAGAGCAAATAACCAGGCAGAGCGTTTCCCCGCAGAGCGTTTCGGAGGCTCCTTCCAGCACGTAGAAGAGACCTTTCGCAATCAGCGTGAGCCCAAGGTGCCCGTGGGGAGGCACCTGCCCGTGGGTGCTCCTCACCGGGGCCGAAAGCAGAGGATGGGGAACCTCCACACAAACCACGGTGCTCCACGGGTGGGCGACGGGCAGCAGAGCTCCCTTCCAGAAACAGGCTGTTCTCCCTGCGACGGAGGCTGCGCTAGTTAATATTTTAACAGAAGGCAACATAATTACAGCTTAATCTCATTAATGAATCCTGAGAAGAGCCACTGGAATATTTCCCGTTCAATACTTGTACTGCAGTTGGTATTGGGCGCTCGGCATGGAGCAATGAGTTGGCAAACCCAAACGGGCCACCCGTGGCAAGGGACGCTGTGCACATGCGGACGCCGCGGCCGAACGGAGGAAAATGCAAAATAAACAGTGTGGACAACCATCTGCCACTTCCGAAGCAGCAGCCAACGCTAACACCCCATTAGGACACGGACCAAAAGCACAAATCTGGTGGTTTGGCCACCGGCAATTTTAATTTTTTGACAGAAAAGGCTTCTGGCATTTGTTAAACAAAAAAAAAAAAAAAAAAAAAGAAAAAGGAAGAAGGCCAAAGGGTTTGAGGACTTGTTTAAATAATAGAAAGGCTGCTGCCGCCCGTTTTGTTTATGTCATCAAAAAAGGTTACAGCTTTGAGCGTACTCATGCGCAACCACAGCGCTGACTTCAAAATGCAGCAGAGCTGCGGTGCTGCTGGTTTGCTCGCCTTGCCGGTGCGGAGGCTCTCCCGGGGTGACTGCACCCCAGCAGGCTGGGTGCTCACCCCCCTGCTTCTGAACCAGGGCTGCTCACCTCGGAACTGGCTGGTTATTTTTTATTTTTAATATAGATAAAGGAGAGGGCAAGAATCGTAACATTTCCCCTTCCTAAAACGTGTGATGTGCTACAGCCTACTCTGATGTCTCTGAAATGTGACTGGGAATCCGATAAAGCACAAACCAGGGGTGAGTGTCACCCGTCCTGGCTGTAACCGAAGCACATCCTCCTGGGCTGAGACCTCCTCCAGATACCGGGACTAATTAACTGATTTTTAAAAACATTTTACTATGTTCTATAACATTAAACCCAAAGGTGATTCTGTTACAATTCTATAAATCACAAATCTTATGAAAGACTTGTTTTTCGGTTTACTGAGCTATCCTCCGTTCTCCCAGTTCCAATCTCCAGCCAGTGAGCAACTCCAAGAAAATGCATTCATGCCATCCATCTAACGTTTTACCTGTATTTCTAAATAAATCCAAGCTGGATTATATACGTAGAATAAGCGTGTGTGGAACAGCTCAGTGACATAGCCAGCCCAGTTTCCACAAGACTGTGATTTATCAGGAGATAATTCATTAACAGAAAAGCATCATTTTTGCTGGCATGAGCCCAGCTTTGCCAGGTCCGGCCAGGTTTTGCCTGCTGCAGTCCTGCGACGGCGAGGAAGCCGGGCCAGGGAGAGGGGCAGAAGGTTTCCCTGTACTGTCGTTACAAGAGAAGCATGTGGATGTGTAAATTCCTGATCTAGACATGTTGGTATTGTCAAATAATTCCTGTTTAACCGCTTCTAACTCACTGCATTTCCCCATCAAATACTGGCTAGGTCATTTGAATATCTTTTCTCACATCTCCCTGTCTTATTCATGCTGAAACCCAAACTAGTCTCCCTTGCCAGAATCTCAAAAAATGAGTACAACGAGTGAGCGTATGAGTTGAAATACTGTCACACGAGTTTTCTTGACGTTTAAAAAGATGTTATTTCATTGCTGCTCCAGAAAAAGACTTGCATGATGTTTGCTGCAGGGACTGGCTGGTGGGGAGGAGAGCTGGCGTGGGGTGGGGCTCTACGGGACCTGGGGTGCCCTTCAGACCTCCCCAAAAATGCACCTCATCTTATCCGAGGTTGTGCGTAAAAGAGCTCTGCGGTGAAAGCACTACAGGTCCTTTTTCAGTTGCACCCCCGCTACTTCAAAGTCCTGCTGTGGCCTTCAGCTGAACTACTCCAGGCTTACACTCTGGGGAGGATCCAGCCCCTTCCACTCACCAAACCGCATCGGTGGGTCACGTCGGACTGCGGCAGCTGAGCCCAGGAGAAAACGCCGCGATGGTTTGCACGGCTCCGTCACTTCTGACCGGGAAAGAAGAGCTCAGCAAAGCCTACGGCAACACCTCAGCGCCGGAGCGTGAGCGGCCGCGGGCTCCCCGGGGTTCTCAGCATTACTTTCATCCTTCTTATTGCAATTATTGCTGGTGGTGTATCACAGAAGGTTGCTGGAAGGACTCCGCTGTTAGAGCGGGGGGTTCTAGTAGCTTCATTAATAGAAGTGCTAATTTGCAGGAGTGATTTGTATGACTGACAGTTCAGGCGATAAAGTTTCCTTTGTTTCAGCGTGGGGCTCGACGGGTTCATGACGGGATGGGGCTTCTGGCTCTGGTGACCGGGCAGGTCCCAGCGGTGCCGTCTCCCAAAGCCCACGAGGACGGCGATGCTGCGGTCCCGTGCTGGGCACCGCCGCCGCGCCTCGGAGAGAGCAGCCCCAGCTCGGGGCACGCCTGCCCTCCCGCTCGGAGGGAACGGACGTTAACCACTGCTGCTTCTTACGGAGTTTAGAAGAAAGAAAATTCAGCTTAAAAAGCTGGAGGAATATCACTGACTGCATTCTACATCTGTTACATCTCAGAATAATTTATTTTAACCTCTGAAGATACAAGGGAAACTATTTGAAGGCGGTGGAGACTTGCCAGTATTTTCAGTTCATTATAAGCAAAGAACTGTTGCTTATAGCACTTTTTTGGAGCAGAGAGTAGTCTGGTTTTAAATCCCTCAAGCAATGAGGAATCATGCACTCGCCAATGGAATTGCTCTTCGGTAAAGAGTACACTAATTAAAAAAGTTTAATTTTTAAATCCAGTCTAAATTTCCTCCCTTCACAAAAGCGTTCTGCCTGCTTCCCACGGGCATTGCTGGGCCCCTGCTAACCCCAGCTGGGGTCTCAGCCCGCCGGCTCACGCAGCGGGGCCGGCTCCCCGCCCGAGCAGAACCCTGGGCTGGGCTCAACACACTCTAAATGTTGTCGTCGAGGGGGAGAGGTGAGGCCAAGGAGTAGCGACAGCCCGGTGATGGAGCTGCATTTCGGCCACGCTGGGACCCAGCAGACCACGCACCACCCACTCCCCGGGCACTGGTGGGTGCGTGCTCCACGCGAGAGGTGCAGCCCTGGCTTCGCCAACAGCGAAGCGCCAATTAGCTAAAAATTGCAATTTCCCAGCTGCAGACTCTGCTCGTTCGGTCGCGCCTTGCGCAGGGCCATGAGCACAGCCCCGCGGAGCCCTGCGCGCAAAAAGGCGGTTTCTCCCCGCTCTGTTTCTCCCCGTTCTGCCCCGTTCTGGCATCTGAGAAGGGAGTAAAGGATCTGCGGGACAGAGGGACTTGCTCAAGCAAGATCATCTCCAGCTGGGCTGTGTGAGAAGATGTGAGCAGGCTCGATGATGAGCGGCCAGCGAACTGAATGCAGAAGACCCAGAGACCTAAATAGTGAAGCAGCTTTGCTTGCAGATGACACTGCGAAGCAGATATGTATGAGTGTTACCAAGATTAAAGTTTAATTAAATTCCTGCAAGATTTTTGGGTCTTCATAAATTTCCTTTGAGCTTTCTGCCAACTAGGATATGCTCGCTGGCTTCAGAATATAAAAGCAAGTGTTGTTGTGTTTTGCAAATATGTTTTATAATGCATGCAAGTGCTGAGTACGCAAAAGTCTCGCTGGTTTCCACGATTAACAAAATTACAAAAGCACAAAGGGTAGCAGTTCTTCTCGTTTTTTACTATCCTTTAAAAACAAGAGATGGATCAAAGTATCCTGTGATTAAGTTTATTCGTCACACCCACATCATGAAAACACCTTGACTCTTCTGAACCCACTTTTCACAGAGGGAGGATGTGAGGGCTTGGCGGAGTGGATTCTGGTGTGGGCTGGTTATTTATTTACTAATTTTTCCCAAATGAGGTCCTGGGTGGGTTGGCACATCCAGGGGGAAGGGATGTCTCTGCCCGGGAGCATCCGGGTGGGTGAGCAGCAGCAAACCCCCTGCCCGGCCCTCGGGGTGCACAAAAAGCTCCGCTGCTTTTAGCCCGTTTTTGGGTAACCCCTAAAAGTGAGGGACCGAGCTGCCGGGGCAGGGGCTCAGCGGGCAGGACGGGTGCAGAGACGTCTGTCCTGAATGCGGCGGGAGCGGACGGACGGACAGCGGTGCACTGGAAACCCACCCCGGGGAGCGGGATTCCCCTGCCCCGTCCTCCCGCTCCCGTGGGGCTTGTATCTTCCTTGATTTTAACCCAGCGCTTGTCAACGCAGCGACGGCTTATCTAACATAAAGATCTTTTATCTGGCGGATCGAGTAACCGAGCGCTCGCGAGAGGGACATGCGGATCATCACCTCTGTGCTCCGTGTCCCCTCCTCGCCTCCCTCCCTGCCATCACACTCGTTTAAAAGCCTGTTGCAGACATGCTCTCTCTGGGACCTCACAGCAAGCTCGCTAGACGCGTGTGAAAATTCAACAGCAAACCGACAATAACATTCCCCAGCTTGCAGAGAAGCAAGGAGAGGATTTTAGGTGAATTCAGGTGAGGACCACAAGCCATCTCCGAGTGCGGGAGGTACGCTTGTGCTTCTCCGAGTGATGGAGCCGGAGGCGCTTCCAGCCAGCTGGGAAGTCACAGCAACCCACAGAGGATGTAAATGTCGCCTGCTATGTTTAGCAGAAACCCAAAGCTTTTCTAGATGCCTTTTTAGCCTGAAAATCAAGTGGAGGCTGAGAAGTACCTACGAGGATCCTCCCTGTTGTGCAGACGTAGAGCGTCTGGCTCCGGGTTCTGGCCAAAGACATCCCTGTACGAACTGCACATCCCGGCACAGAGCAGGCAGCGGCCTGGGCTCCATCCTGCCCCTTCTAAAACCAGCCCACAGGTACATTTTGGATCAAATCTCACATTTCTGCCCTCAAGAGCAAACCTGCATCAGCTTCGGTGGGGTAGGGGTCCAGGTCTGGCTGCAGAGAGCTGGGGGAGCAACGCGCTGGGGGAGGAAGGGAGCGTTTTCTCCCCCACCCTCCAAAAATATTTGGAAGTTTTTTTACCAGTTCTGTGACCGGCTGGTATACACACACTTTTTAATTCAGAGTGTCACTGAACTACAAATCATAATAATAGAGCTCGTTTGCTGGTAAATGGTGATTTTTGAGGTCTTTCCCTAGCCTGGCTGCTTTTGGGTCGCAGCCGGCAGCCGCGGCAAGGAAGGGCACACGCAGTGACAGGGCTCGGCGTGGCCTGACCTCGCAGCCTGGGCTGCGTTCTCTCCCTTTGGATCTGGAGATTTCAGCTGGAAAAGAGAGTAAGATTTAAAAGATGGGAGAACCAAAGGTCCAGCTAGATTTCTGTCTCTGGGAATGGCCAGTAGAGGATATATTGGGAAATGTGTAAAGAAGAGAGATATTCTTCCGCTGGTGATTTGCCACCTTGAGCACTCCCAGCCCTGAACGTTTTGCTGGGACTGAGCTCACTGAGGAGAGAGCTGAGAGCATCTCGCACACTGTGGGAAGAGGTCAGCTACCAAGGCACTGGATAAAATACCCAGTACGCCTCTCCTTTGGCTGCTTTCCAGAGGGGATCAAGCCCAGCGATTGTCAAGATTGTGGAGACTGTAATTTTGTACCTGTTAAAAAAATTTCTCCAGCCCACGTGCACAGATTAAGTCACAACCAGAGATGAAAACACCTGATTCTGTGTGGATTTGCAGCAAACTGTCAATACTCTGCACAGAGTGTGCGAGGATGAGCTGCTTTCAGTGGGTGGCATTGCACCACCCTGTCATCCCACTTGATCTGCCATTTGCCAGGTGCAAAAGAAGCCTTTATATGACACCACTATTTTTTAAAAAAAATCTAAATTAATGATAGGGCAGAGACTGCAGAGTTTAAATCTCAGTGCAGCATCGAAGGGGTTATACCGATAAGCCAGCAGCTCCACGTGGAACAAAGCTGGCATTTCAGGGAGAAGACAATGGATTGTATTTTCTGTGTTCATTTTAGTCATCCATTTGGCATTGAGGCTGAGGTCACCCACCCAATCGTGCACTGCAGCATCTCTGTTCTAGCTAGCAAGGAGAAGCAAAACAAAGAGGAGCTGAGTCGGCAGGAATCGGATAGCAATCATGTATGGAAAAGTGCTCCGTTAAATGGCTTTTAGATAACGTTGTTGCAGTCCATTTCAGGACACTGTTTAAAATCCTTCTGAATAAGCATTTTCTCTGACACACATCTTAGCACTTTGCATGGCCACTGGTCACACTCAATTCCCGTTTCACATCCCGAACAATAATTACTAGCTTGGCCTGGTTTTGTGGCTGAATGATATGATTTGCAAGGCAAGCATTCAAACACCAGCCAAAGGGATGTAGTGACTGCTATCCATCTGTAAATATTTTCTCTAGCAACAGCTTCATTTCCTTTGAAACATTAAAAAGGTTGTAGTTCTAACATGTATGCATATGCAGGCACGTGTCTTAGAAAAATATACAACAGGCGCACACGCGCGCGCCTCTTGGCTCAGCCTGAGTTTTGCCCCATGCAAAGAAGAGGCTCAGTTTGTCCCCCCGTCCTGTTTTCTGGGAAACGTGCTTTAATTATGTCACCAACATCTCGGAAACCCGCGTTCTCTGTCGGATGGCTTTATCCCCGGGGAGGCGGCGCTGCGAGCTCCTCCGCCTTGTCAGCCCGACGTGCAGACAGTCAAGGACGAGGTGCAATCCTTCTGGCTGCTGCTGGCGAGCAGAAAACACGCAACGGGCTCTGAAGCAGCGCTTTAGCGTTTCTTCCTTGCTTTATTCTGAAATAAAGCGAGGGGTGAGCCGCTACGGGATCACTCCATCGCCAAGGGATGGGTTTTTCCCGCTCGCTGAAGGAGAGCTGCGTGCACAGAGAGGTGCCCTGAGGCAGGGGATGCCTTGAGGCCGGCCAACCAACGTCACAAGCATTTCTCCAGGTGCAGGAGGGTTTGGGGTACGCCTTTCCAAGGCTCTGCTGGTACCCACGGCGGTGTTGCCGCACACGTAACCATCAGACATAGCTGTACAGTGAGCCGGAAACCAATGGGGACTTTGGAAGTCCTAGCAGGTCGTATCTCCAAACCCTCACAGCGGGTTTCTCAAAAAAGCTCTTAAAGATGAAGCAAATCTTCTTCACGCTGCCTGCACCCTACATCATTTTACTCTTGTCTCAGCTCAGGCAAAGCGAGGCAGTCTGCCTTCAGTCCCCTGTTTCTCCGAGGCAGTAAATAATTCAGCATGAACTTCTGTTATCCTTGTCTTGTAACAGAAGAGGAGATGTTTAGAGTTGGTTGGAAAGGGGGAAGTTTTGTTTTATGGGAAAAACCTCTATTGTCGACCTTTCGTTTAATTTAGCATCGGAACAAAACCTCGCACCGTGGGACCTGGAGGGAAATGGACCCGTCCGTGTCCTGGTGTGCTGTACCCCTGCCCGCCTGCCAGCCGTGGGTCAGGAGCAAAGCAACTACCAGTCCAAGCACCCAGTTCCAGCTGAGGAACTCCGGACCTGTGCACCGGAGCTTGCGTGGCAGAGGTTTTTGCTCCCCTGAAAAGCCATCAGCTAAAGCTGATTAATCTCAGAGCAGTATCTGCTACAAACAGGCCCTTAGAGGTGAAGACGGTCACATCAGTTTGGTGGAAATCAGGACCTGCAAAGCCCATGATGCTTCTTATCCTCCTAGTGACCCCCCACTCACCGTGGGGCCTCCCAGGCTACGGCGACACGCAGGGACGCCCCGTCTTGCCATGATCATTTCTTTCGTGAGCAACGGGGAGATTCCCAGCAGAGCTCACACCCCCACGTCTCCAGCTGCCAGGCACACGGACACAGGCAACTCTTCCCCTTGGGAAATGCAGAAGAGCCCTTAAATTGAAAACAAAGAGTGCAAAAGCGGGCTGCAGTGCCACCTGCCCTGCCTCGGCCTCGTGTCTGCGGAGCTCCCCGGGTTTGGGGGGCTGAGGCAGGGGCCGTGCCCAGCACAGCCCTGGCACGGGGGGCTCTGCGCTGCTGGGAGCTCCGGCCGCAGCGAAACGTCGATAAAGAGAGAGCTGGTGAGGGTAGAAAACGGGCTTTAAAATGCAAGGTCTGGGAAAGGTGTTTCCAGCAACTGCACAACTCCTGCTCTCGCAAGTCCTCCCCCTCCCCCTGCCTTGCTGGGAGACAAATGTTATTAATCAGTCCCGTAAATTGAAATCCATATTTTTCTCATGAGTTCTGAAACCCATTTAAGGCCTCTAAACAGCTTCTATCAGCTGAAAAAATTAAATTAATTTTATTCCTCTTGCCTAACCATCCTCGGGAGTTCTTTGTCAAGAGCCTTCGGTGGAAAAACAATGGAAACTTGTGCGGCGTTTCTGTCCGCAGCCTGCGTGGAAGCACACCGAGCTTTTCTCCTGCCGCGGGTACAATGGCCGGCATTGTCCCGCGGCCGTCGTTTGGAGCGACGAGCCAGCTGAGGGCTGAGGAGCCGACTAAACTACAGCCCCTCCATTCCACACGCGGATAACTCTTCCGGAGAGACAACAAAAAGAGAGAAAAATCTTTTTGCAATTAATAACAATAGTCCACGAAAGCTAGAAAATGTCCCTGTCTTAAAAAATTATTCTGGTGCTTCTATCCCAGCCATGGTTTTTACAGCTGGTTTAAAGCTGACAGATAGGCACAGAGACACACATCTAGCCTCGCCTCTGTCTCCCTCGGAGTTCAGAAAGTGCTGCTTTCCACTCAGATAGAAGCTTTATTAAATATTGACTCATTCCCTACCATTATTTTCTGCTCCATTATCTCAGTTTCATTAGCATTTACAAATCTTTGCCTTTCTGGGAATTCAGAAGTTGCGTTTCGTCTGCGTGCCTTCCTGCCCACAAATCACGAATGAGCTGGCGGCCAGGGTGCACCACACCAGAAAATAACACTCGTGTTACGTTCGCGAGCGCGCGAGCTGGCGTGAGGCTGAACGCGGAGATCCCACCACGTCTCACTCCGGCGCGTCGCGGGTTCTTCTCACCGCCCCGGTTTGGAAGGGCACGTGCCGGGGGGGTCTTTTCAAGTGCAAGCTTCAAATTGTTTGCAAAAGTGCTGGGAGGAGGTGGGAGGGATGGGGATGGAGGAGGCAGGGTGTGTGGGTTGTACGCGGCTGGGGACCCCGTGCTGGGGAGAGCCCCCCCCCCCCGCGTCCCCTCAGCTCTGTTGGCTTGCTTTTTGCTTTCATTGGAGCGAGTTTGCAGGTTCGGAGCCACCCAGCAGCATCCAGCCCCAGCTCTAAAGTTCACCTCCTCCATCAGGCAGCCCAGCCCAGCAGCAAACCCACCGTGGGCTGTGCCAGCATCTCCCGGGCAGCGCGCGTCCCGGGGGCTTCTCTGACACGCACAGTTACAGGCTGAGCGAGGAGCGCAAGTCTGCACCCTCTTGTTTTCAACGCGTGGAAGATTTTAGCTTTAAATTGCATTGATTTCTTGAAAAAGCGCGACAGATGAGCGAGCACCCTGTAAGTGCCTCTCCTGGGGATATGTTTTAAAAGCAGACGCTCTCTGTACTGCATCCCACAGAACAAATGCTTGTGCTGCTTTCTGTAACTGATTTTTCTCTCCAAACTGTAGCAAATCATTCAGACTAGCTGTCCGGAGAGGAAGAATAATCTGAGCTTTGCTAAAAATAAATTGGTCTAGGTCCTCAGCAGCCCGTGGTGCCAGGCAGGTTTGCACTCGACCGAGGAGAACAATCCCAGTTTTGCTGAAAATCACCTTTAAAAATGAATGGGACCCTGCACTGCCCCTGCCTGCCAAGGTCTTGGGGTGATGATCCAGAAGCGTGGAGTGGGGTGGCCTGCAGCACCCCTTTTCTGCGGCTTGCTCGGAGGCAGAGGGAGCTGGGCTTGCTGGAGGCATTTTCGTGGGAGCCATTCCAGTGCTGAGCTGGGGCTGAAGTGCTGCTGGTCTGTGCTGGACTGGGCAAGGGGGGGGGGTCCCATGTGTATCCTTCTATCCCAAGGTCCACTGAAGGCACCTGGGTCTGTAGGCAAGAGGTGCGTTCCCTCAAATGCAGCTCTCAACCTCGGCAGCCGCAGGGTGTTTGCGAAGGTGAAGGTGCTGTGAGACAGAGAATCTAGGCAGGACTGAGAAAAAAAGCTGCTGCAACAATGACAAGAGCTCCATCGTGGTTCTGTGATCCCGCACCCGCTCTTCCTACCCGCCTTCCCTCCAGAGGAGGGGGAAAGGGTCACAGACTGCTCGCCCCTTCCCTTGCATAGGGGAAAAAATGGGAAAAGAAGCTGAAAAAAAGAAAGACCGCTCTGCCACAGGCTGCCCACCGGCCTCCCCGCTGGTTTTAGCAGCAGCGTGGACCAGGGTGAGGCACAAGCGTTAAGGACAGCACCAGGCTCTGGGTCCCTGCCTGAAGCCGTCGGGTAATGCCTGTGGTCCAAGCCCTGGCCCTGAGTCAGCCCGGTGGGCTGGGCTGAGGCCGCAGCTCTGCCTTCAACCCCGCAAACGGGCAGAAAACCAGGCATGGGCCCAGCAGAGAAACGGCAGAGGAGTTTGGGGGCCTCACTTCACCTCTCCGAAATCCAGGTCAGCAAACCAGCAGTGGCGGAAACAGGGCTGTTTGCCATTACTGCAGCTTTTCTGCTTAAAAGTGTCTGCTCCAGCTTCCTCTGATAATCACGCTCTCCAGACGGGTGAGAGCTCTCAACGCCGAGCCCCGACCCGCTGCCCTCGCACGCGCAGCCCTCGCTCACTGATTAAGCCGACGTATTTTCAAGGAACAAATCGCAAGCCGGAGGAAAGATGCAAAGTCATTGTGCTGAATATTTCCACACGGTACTTCTCCTCAAAGCTGAGAAAAAGCAGCATCACTTAGGCACTTAACCCCGTCACACGTTGCTGTGTGTCGTCACAGCAGCCTGGCTCAGGGAGGTGTCCCCACACCTCGGAAAGAAGCAGCGAGACTGAAGGGATGGATTAGTTTTGGATTAAATGGGTGTAACTCCATGCACCCTCCTGCAGGAGGTCTAGATGTGGTATTTAGTGCTTGCTGCTGGGAGAGGGGTGGTCCCAAGAGGAAACTGGGGGCTGATCTCATCGCTCTTGACATCACAGTTTGCTTTGATGAAGCTGCGTGTGATCTACACAAGCAAGTGGTGTAAGTAAAGCTAAGGACGTCAGCACAGTTAAACCAGAGCGTAGCTGCTGCAAGTAAATCGGATTCAAAGTTAATAATTTAATTTCTAGCAGGCAGAGAAAAATCAGAAGGCTAATAAGATATGAACCTAATAAGTCAGTGTACTGGGCCTGAGCATTTCCATCTGTTATCGCAAGCTGCCATCTCAACACAAGATGCAGAAACTGCAATTGTGCAATGAGGATGTGGACACAGGCATGAAAAGAGAGAGTCGGAGGCAGGCAGACATGCCCACCTACATGGCAGAAGGTAGGACCAAAGCTGAGGAGGCTTTATGTGCTGATGTGCAGGTGGTGCTAGGAAAGATGTTGATATGGCAATAGGTAAGGTCCTTCAGAATGACTGCGAGCTTTTCAGGTTCCAGGTGTCTTTTAGATTTGTATTTAATTAGTTCTCAAACAAAATATATGCTGTTTTAAGATAACCGACAATAACACTAAGGCTAACAGGCCTGACCATTATTGTGCATCTTATTTCTACAATCTGGTGTAGCTAGATATGGCAGGTTTCTGGTGCTTGTAGGAAATTGCAATAAATAAAAGACTAATACTCACCCGAGTAAAGGGCTGATATGTTGTACTGGGTAAAACACGATGAACCAAAGTGAAAATGCCTCTTCTTTAACAGTGGATGTGCAGGAGAATAAAGGCTATCAAGTATTTATTTCCCATCATCAGGAAATCCCTGCAGAAGATGATTTTCCTTGACAAGATTGTCCTCAGAAAGCAGCCTATTTTTTTTTTAGTGTTTTTATTTATTACAGAAAAAGTCATCTGTAGTCTTCTCAGCAAGGTCAGCCGTTCATGTGCTGCAATCAATAATCTCTTCTTAAGTGTACACCGCTCAGCTCTCGCAATGGAGTTTATGGTTGCACTACGTCTTTATTATGAATGAATACTACTTTTGCCACTGCTGAGCTACGATCTAGCTATTTATTGAAGCCTGACGCTGACCCTCCAGCTTTAAGAAAATTATATCAGATCACTTGGAACATCACTGCAATGTCAGCTCAGGACCTATCAGGAAATGCTGAGCGCTCGGGGAAAATGAGGGTTCGTAAAACAATCTCCTCTGCCCTTCAGAGTTTCTTCCATAGATAGAGAAGTAGACACTGGTTCAGAGGACTTGAAGACTTGGCCCCAACCTTCCAGCTTTGTTTTAACGTGGAGATTTGAGTGACAAACAGAGGTACCAGTTAGCCTCAGTAAAGGCTGAGAAGTATTTGTCTCAGTCTCCAGTGGAATTCCACAGGCAGTCGTGGCATGGAGCCCTTGAAGAGCTGGTATGGCCATTAACCCCAGTGCAGACAGTGACATGCCTGGTGGCATCACCCAGTGTGAATCGCCCAGGTGCTTGGGATGAGCTCTGTAAATTACGCATTGTGTAGCTGGTTATTTAGTTTAAATAAATAAATGTAAAAACTAAGGTCTTGTTTATTAGCTTTTATGTCAGAATAATTTCTTCAGCTTAAGTGTGAGCAAGCTAAGTAGCTTTTTTTGTTTAGCAAAGCTGCCACACTAATTTTGACATTTGCAAATGTCGACATCCCAGTTACAGCCTACGACAAATTGCTCAAAATCATCTTGTTCTCTTAAAAGGATTCCTTCCCTTTGCACTACTGCATTGATGTTAAACAGTCACCCTATGGATGGATGGTTAGTTTCATTAAAAACTTTGCAAGTCTGGTTTTGAACTGAACATGCCTTATAGCACGGTTTAGAGCGGCCTCTGGCTTCTTGCCTAAATGTAAGCCAAAAATCCAGTTTGCCCTGCAATTATCCTCACCTTTCCCAGGTATGTGTGGCTAGCAGCGGCTTCCAGTCCTCGAGTATCTCCCTTCGTCCAGAGAGACTAACAAATGCTGAGATGATTTCCCCTCGATTCGGAAAACTCAGGCTCCTGAGCGCGTCCATGGTGGGAAGTATTGTCTGGGCAAATGCTGGTACTCCTCGTGTTGGATTAAGTTTGTCATTGTTGGTAATTAACAGCAACACTCAGGTTTATTTGTAAAGCTGTGTCATGTTCACTTTCCCATATGCAGTATAAGGCAAGGAACACGTCCCTGCACCACACAACTGTTGCATCTGGGATGCGTTTCCTGCTGGGTTTGAAAGGGAGCTGGGGGTAACGGTGGGTGATTTCTGATTTGCAGAGCTCAGCTTCGGGTACCCGGGAGCCCTTTGGGGTGCCGGTGAGGTTCTGCTCTGCACCACGAGCCCGGGGAGCGGCGAGCACTCAGCACAGCTGGCAAGCTGCTGCTGCAAGAGCAAAGGATCCTCGGCTAGAGCCGGTCTTCAACGCCCTATACCCTGACCCTCATCTGTTATCTGGGATAGTCTAGTGCTCCCTTATCTCACAGCAGTGTTGTGAAGCTTAATTAACTAATTAATCTTTCAAAGAATTGTGATAGTCTTAGATAAAAGACATCTATTAACATTTCCTTCGCTATCGACAGCGTCGTTATTAACTCCCAAGAACGGTCTTGGGTTTTAAAATGTTGTTTATTATGGATATTGCAAGAATTTTAGGCCATTATCAAAGCAGTTGTATGAAATTCTGACCAGTCCCTGGGGTAACACCTTCCCCAGCGCCCGTGGAGAGGGAACCCACACCTTCAGCATCACTTGGGGTCCCAGGCCAAGCCCTGCACTGGCTGATGCTCCGTGAGCAAGGTGCTCTGGTGGGGTGTAAGCCAGGACAGGGCACGCCACTCACCATCCCCATCATGAATGTATTATGTCTTTTTTCTTAATTAGAACGAGTGTGTTTAATTAGTAGTGGGTTTAGAGCACACAGAGAGAAGAGCTTGCCGTCGCTTCCTTGGGTTTTGACTGCAGGAGTGCGTGTGCTGCAGCACATGACTCCCAACACATTGCTTTTGTGGCAGCCTTGTAAGCTGTGCCTCTAGCACAACTGTCATCCTAAATAACGTAAGTTAAGAAATGGTCCTTTTCTAAAAAGTAATGCTTATCTTCTTGCTTTTTCCCCCTCAAATTAATCTCCGTGTGGATAGTTACCATCTCCTACCAGGCAAAGCCATAAATGCTCCCGCATCCCAGCAGAAATTTATAGATCTGGCCAAATCCCGCTGCAGAATGCGCTGGTACGTTTACTGCTGGCTCTGCAGGTAACAATGTTAGTAGATCATTGTGTAGCTTGATTCACGAGATGTACTGAATTTCCTGGACTAGCTGGCAGCAAAAGGCAGAACTTCACAGATAATCACCGAAAGCCTTTAACGAAGTTTGTAATTTTATCCGTAATTGTGAGCTGGCACGAAGCAGAGCACGGAAGCGGTGCAGGCGCATGCCCCAGCGCTGGGACGCCAAAGCAAGGACGGACTGAAGGTGGTGACGACCAGGAGGAGGAACAGCACTAGAACCATCGTTGTGAAGGTGAAATCCAAGTAAAAAAATCATTCTTCCCCATAAGGATAATTGAATATTAATGTAAAGCAGTGGGATACGGATTGGCAGGAAGGGAATTAGGGCTTGGACTGGAGAATAAAACAGGTAGAAGTGAAATAGAACGTCATCACCAAATGGGTCAATGCCACCTCAAGCTGAGCTGCAGACTCGTCTTTGAACCAAAGGGAGGTACTGAGGTACGGTGCTTCTAACACAGCCCCTGCAGCGCTGCCTAGATTAAAACATGAAGGGGGCCTGGGTTTGACCACCCCAACGCTTGAGCACCGTTTTGGAAAAAAACTTGCAGGGAACGCTGAAGAAATGGAAGCTGACATCCGAGGAGCAGGCAGCTTTGATACGCTTGGGAGAAAGATGATCCTCCCCGCGTACACCGCGGCGGCGTTGCCTCGATTACGGGTTTGTTGGGGTTGGTGTCACCCAGAACCTGCAGAGATTGACTGTACGACTTCTGTAAACGAAGCTGTGGCCAGCAGGGCCGCGACTCCCCGAAGGCCCCTCAGCGCAGCTGAAAGCCTTCCCGCCATCCGAAGCCGCCGAGGCAGACCCTGCCAGCCCAAGTGCCTGGAGATACACAGCCCGGTCCCCCTTCAGATACCTCAGATATCTGGAGATAGACAGCCCGGTCCCCTTCAGATTCCTCAGATATCTGGAGATAACACAGCCCCGGCCCCCGCAGACCCTGCCCGCCGGCCGCCGGTGTCGGTTTGGCTGGGGAGGGAACGGCTGAGGTAAAATGGACGCCGAGGGGTCGCCTCAACCCCGCTCCCCGCAGCCTCAGCCCCTTCTGCCCCCCCCCCGGGGCGGAACGGACTACGAGTCCCAGCGCGCCCCGGGCCGGGGGCGGAGCGGGGCTTTGTGCGGGCCGTGCCGGCATGCGGGGGAGCCTCCGCCGGAGGAGCCGGAGCCGAAGCGAGCCCGCCCCGGGGGGAGGGCGAGGGCGGCGAGCCATGACGGGCGGCGGCGCGGCGTTCCGCCGTCGGTGCTAGAGGGCGACCGCGGGGCGCGGAGCCCGCCTGGCTCGGGCGGCGCGGAGCGCGGAGGCAGCGCGGAGGGGCCGCTGCCGCCGCCGCCGCCGCCGCCGCCATGGGCAACGCGGGGAGCGTGGACTCGCAGCAGACGGAGTTCAGGGCGCACAGCGTCCCCCTCAAGCTGCCCATGCCCGAGCCCGGAGAGCTGGAGGAGCGCTTCGCCGTCGTCCTGGTGAGTGCCGGCCCCATTGTTTGGGGACGGGGAGAGCAGGTCGGGCCGCCGTGAAAAGTTGGAGACGGGAGGTGTTCCCCCCCCCCCCCCCCACCTCCTCGGCGGTCGCGGCTGTGCCGGCCGCGGCTCTTTGTCTCCGAGAGCCCCCCCCCCCTCGCCCCAAAGAGCCGCCTTCCCCCCCCACCCCGAGCCGAGGCGGTGCCCCCACGCCGGGCTCTGCCCCTCTTCGCGGGGGAACCTGTGAGGGAAAAACCCGCGGGGGGCTGGCTGAGGGGAGCCTGGTGCGGCCTCGCCTCGGCCCGCAGCTTGGGAAGGGGCCCCCCGCCCTCCGGCCGGCCGTGGGGCTCCCCCCCCGCCCGGGACACGCCGGTCCCGCGGTCCCCACGGCCACGGCAGCGTGTGTGCGGTTCGCCCCGGGGCTGGGCTGCTGCCCCTGTCGGGCTCTGCTTTTTATTTTGTTCCTTTCCCCCTCACCTGGCTCGGTGTTTGAGATCACCTTCCCCGGGAAGGGCAGTGCTTCCCTCGGCGCTGCGTATGGGAGTGTTTCGGGCAAACGTCCTCTTTTCTTTCAGGTGTCTAAGAAGTGCGAGTAGATTATTGCGGGCCATCTACTCCTCCGTGCCCTTCTTGCTTTTGAGCAACGTTTACTTGAAAAACCGAAGCTAGGGAAAGAGAACGAATAAACCCCGTGTGTGTGCCGTGCCCTGTGTCCCCCGTAATGCCGTGTGAAACCCAGCAAGGCGAGCTGTTGCGAGAGTAATTCCCATATCAGATATTAGAGCAACCCCCCTGGTATTTGAAATAGCCCCAGTGCTGCACGAGGATCCACAAACTGGTGTGTGTTGGGGATTATTTCTGGTTAGACCCAATTAGATTATCATGTCTAAGAAAAGAATAAGCCTATTCAGTCAGGATCCCCCACTGATGAGCCGAATGGCGAGTGAGATGTTACAATTATTAGGCACAGTGGAAAAAGCCTGATCTCGCACTGCTCTTGTCAGGGAAACCTGTGGTCGTTTTACAGATGGGAGATGCCCCCACAAGCAGCACATGGCTCGGAATCAAGTTGTGATTCATCTTAACCTACCAGAAGGGTGCCTGGCTTAATTTCTGTGCGTGGTCTGTGGGAGAAAATTAGTGGTTTTGAGTTAGGACCAATCGATTAGATCAGTAAAAGGAAGAGACATCGTTTGGGAAAGCAGAGTGTGTTAGATACGTATAACGTAAATATGGGAGATAACAGGACCACGCCTGTAATTTCTTGAGGTACTTGAAAGGAGTAGATGGCATCTGTTTTTAGAAGATGGACTTAAATTAAGGGTCAGAGGATGAGTGCTGTAGCTTTGCTGGAGGGAGCGGCAGGCTGTGTAGATGCGTGTCTGTACAAACGGGGTGTTGGATGATCTGCTCCCATCGGGAGGAGCTGCAAGATGGGGCCCGAACACCACTGCTGAAGCAGCCAGAAATCGCCTTCAGCCTGTTCTTGAAGCCAGCCAGAGATGGTTGGTGTTTGTTGCAGTTTCCAGGAAGTATCTGGCCTGTTTCTGAAAGAATAAACTCCTAGGCTGTTATTATTTTGTTTTCTCTGTGGCTCTGAGAGGAAGATGACTGTGCCACTGGTCAAACCCCAGAATGGGGTAGGCAGTGGAACAGCAGGGATTAATGAGAAAGGAATGGTGGTTGGGGGGAGAAAAAAGATGGGGAATATTTTCGGTAGGGAGAGAAGATTAGTCAGGAGATGAGAGCGTGAAGAAGGAGATGCTGAAGGTTATAGGAGTAAATCTCACCTTCTTTACACGCTATCTTAAGAAATTAGCCTGGCGCAAGCATTGCTTCTGTACTCGGAGAGCCCTGGTGAGGTCCTGAAGGGCTATGCTGGCATCAGCAATTTTTGTACCGCTAACGAAGTTTCCAAGACTGTTTTTGACACTGATGAACAGGCAGCTCGGCTGAGGTGCAGCTGCAGGCAGGTGTACAGTCATCGCACTGAGCGATTTGCCTCTGTTTCTGTATGTAAAGAGAGGAGCCACGCGGGAAAAGTTCCTCCTGTGCAGCCTCACAAAAGTATTTTGAAATGTTATTCTTTCCTTGTGCAGAATCAGCACAGTGAGCCGTAGCCCTCTAAAACAAGCGCATATCCATGAGGGGAGTGCAGGTTGGCCACTTTTTTACCTCAAGTGACGTGACATTGACTGTTTTGGTTTTTTTTTTTTAATTTTTTTCCACTTTAAGCATACTGTCCAGATCTTCTCCGGGATCTCTCTGGTCCCTTCAGCAGGGGGATGGATGATCAGCGATGCGAGGTGATGCACGTGTGTGCTAGCTTCCATTTGCTGGGTTATTAGCAGCCTTAGTCTTGAGGAAGGTCTTAAGTAGTTTGTCCACTTCAAACATACATAGTCACCTTACTGCCTCTTTGGTTAGCCTCGCTCTTTGAGGCTTGAGGTGCATAAATTGCAGGCAAAGTGCTCCAGGTCATGCTTTTCTGGTGAAGCTCCCAAATCTTAATTGTGCTGATATTCTCCTCCTGCCTCTAACAGTGCCATCGGCATTACCGAGGGTGCGCTGAGCACACGGCGTGGCAGTGCCCGACCAAGCTGAGGGACAGCGATGCCGGCTCTGGCTGCGTCGCACCTCTTGGTCCGTTGGGCAAATGACGTGAGAAGATTTTCCGGGTGTCTCCCAGTACTATTTCTGGGACCGGTGTGGTGAATGTGCTTCCCTGGCTTGTTTGTTGCATTGAGATTTGGACTCCCCTCTATTAGTGAGGACCAGGGTCTGTCTGCGTGTTTCTGGAAGACATCGTATTTGAAGGGCTGCACTTCAAAGGGAAAAATGTAGAGGATAACCCAAGAGAGATCCAGGTTTCTGTCTGTAAGCTAAGCATTGTTTTTTCTATCCTTTCTAACTGATGTGATTCTCCCCTTCTGGCAGGACATGTGATATAATTCCCTTAGTTTCAGGTTTACGCAAGAGTGTAAAGTCCAGGGAAGAGGCAGCGTGTTATTGCCACCGAGTTCCCGATGTGCCTGTGAGGGGTGCTGGATAAACTGAGAGCCTCACCCCAGCTCTGGTGCTGACTTTGAGCTTGCCAGCACTGACACATCCCCCCCGTTGCACATCTGCAGGTACCTCCCACCCTTGTCCCTTCCTCAACGTGCTCGTTTTTCCTCCTCAGATGGGTTGGATTTTTTTTTTTTTTTCTTTTTTTTTTTTTTTTTTTTTTCAAGCTTTACTGCAGGGACACATGGGGCGAATGTGCATAAATGATGAATTCTGGTAACCAACCCTAGTTTATGGCGCAGGAAACCATTGTTCAGCCTGCGCGAGCGCCCGCTGCAAGCCAAGTGCGCTGGGTGCGTCCCGTAGACATTATGGCACCGCTCTCCGATGCGGTGGGTCGGGAGTTTGGGGGGTGCGGGGGGTAAAAGCTGGGCCTCCAGCTCCTGCAGCAGGGTGGTCTTTCTCTGAACCGGTAACGGGGTTGCACGTTTGCAAATGACACGTGGTTTGGAGGAAGCAGCCAGGACAGAGTTGGCAGGGCAAATTGTTGCCTAATGAGCTGTGATTGACATAATTTGACTGCTGGATTACAAATCTGCGGTGAGGTTAACAGGAAATATCCTCTTACCCCCACCGAGTGGTGTTCAGTTTTACAAAGGAGTCTTCTGTGCCCGGTCCCGTAGGACGGAGGGAAGCGGCTGAAGGGTGTGGGGAGGGAGGAGGTGTTGCTGCCGCCCGCTCCCGGCAGCGCTCTGTCCTCCCTTGAACGTGATGTTGCCTACCTGGAGGCAGGGCATCAGCTTCTGCTGTGCCAATAGGAACTTCTTTGTTCCGCTTCCTTTCCTTCTTCACAGTGGATTTTGTCCAAGCATCATTTTCCATACCAGTCGAGGGAGTTTTAGTGTCTGTTGCTAAAGAATTTGAAAGCTCAGTGTGAAAACTCCGTAACGGTTCCCAGCTGTTTTCCATTCCTCTTCCTAATCCTCTATCAAATATATTGTGCGTTGTTTTATAATATATACAGTTTAGAGTCTGCAAATCATTAAAGAGCATGACAGGGTTGCAGGAGATATCTGCGAGGCAGTATTAGTTCCCTCGCTTTGGTGGGGCACTGGGTTCCTTGTTGTAATTCCTAAATTTAACAGAACTCTCATGGGATGAAGTTCAACTGAGATCCTGTACTCTGGTATCAGGTGTAATTTGTATTGTTTTTGTGGAATTTGAAAGCGGTACTATGGAAGTTGAGAGACACTAAATTAGATTTAGGAACCACCTTCAGGAGAAGGAGATTTCTAAAATTCAGGTATTGAAAAGACCGGTTGTGTTTTCTTGTTCAGACCTCATCTGTGACAGGCTTCTGCCGCTGGGCTCTTTCCTCAAGGTGTCGTTTAAATGATTCAAGCAATGACACCTTTTGCTTGAAGAAACAATCTAATAAATCACGTTCTTAAATATATGTATTTCTGACTGGTTCAATTCACAGAGTGAAGTAGTACTTGGTGGTGACACATATGTCAAGCTGGCCTGTAAATCAGTAAATGGCATTTGTAAGTTTTTCCACCTAGACATCACAGGAGAATGTTTTTGTAAAACTGTTGGGTTTTTTTTTTTTTTTTTTGAGTGCCTGGAATACAAGGATACTGTGTTAGGTATTTAGCTACTAGCAAGTTAGTCACATTCCTAAGATTAATTTCAGATCCTAGAAACCTGGAAGACTTAAAAAATGGTTAAGCTGATGTAGGTGCTCATATTTTTCTGTGTACCTTTTTTCCATACAAAATAATCTCCTTAATTTATTGGGCTATAATGATGGAGGTGTGTACCCACTCTGTCAAACTGGGCTTTCCCGGCGGAGGGGGCTGCTCCTGGGGGTGCTCGACATCTCGGTGGGGTGCGACAGCCTGAGTCTGCAAACCCACTTAGGGTAATGACAGCAAAGAGGCTTCCTGATCGTTTTTGTGCTGTATAAACCCATCATCATGTCATATTTCCTTCCAGATTACTTTGTGCTTTTGTCTAAGGCGAATAACAACAGGTCGATCAGCTTTGTCAGATGGAAAACAAAACGGGGTGAGAAACGTGCGCACCTGTGAACTTGGCAGGATTGTTACTTTTTTTTTTTTTTTTTTTTTTTTCCCCCCCTTTAGGTGTGCACAGGGTTTTTTTGGCAGTACAGAGCCTGCTTCCCACTTGCAGCCCCCGTGTTGTGCAGGGCTCCGGGGAGCGCCCGGCAGCCGCTGCTCGTGGTGACTGAAATCCCGTGTTTCCTCTGGGGTGAGGTCCTTGCCCTGGCTGTGCCCACGTCTGGGGTGGCTCGTGTGCCGTGGCCCTTGGGCTCGTGGGGACATCGCTCCGGCGGGTGCCGAGTTCCTCCTGACGAGCACGAGCTAGCAGAGCCCCTGCCCTTACCCTCACGCTGCACCATCATCTTCCCTCTGGCACGCTGAAGCTTTCTCAGGCATCCCTACCGACTTCCTTAACCTTGTGTGCAAGATAAAGGGGTTTTTTTGCATTTTGTCTTCACGAGCAAGGTCATGCGAAACTCGGCCCTGAGGT